AGAGATTTAAGAAAAATGATCCAGTTTTCTTTTGCAAATATTTAAAATAGATTTTTTTAAATATATTTTATTTTAATTCTTTAATGGTCGTTCTGGCAAGGCTCCAAACAAAAATCTATTCTTGGATTTACAATGCCATAAGATTAGTTTTGCATAATTGCGATTTTGAAACTGAGAATCTTTTAAAGAAAAGAAGAATTTGTGTTTAGAGTTTTGAACATTTTTCAAGGTAATCTTAATCGTTTTAATCTTCATCCTTTGGGATTTTTAGTAATAATAAACAATAAACAATCCACAAAAGAAGTAATTTATAGTATAATAGAAAGCAAGTTTATTTTATACCGTTACTTTTAATGTTACCTTTTTGGTTGTTGACACGATAATGGATTTGAGGGGGAATTCTTCAGCCATGATATGTGGACCTATTAGGAGATTACGTGAAAGATTGTTTACAGAGACATCGACAAACAGTGTACGTGACTTTTACCTACATAAGAAAAGCTTCTCTCTTCACCTTATTCGGCTTGCGAAAACAAGTCAAGAACAAGACAAACCAACTGAATGAAGATTCATCAAGTGTTACCTGACAATAATCTTAAGAATGACACACCTTGCATCGAGTTACAAGTGGAAACCAGTTGATAGAATTTCGTTAAAAGTTATCCTTTTTCATATCTTAAAAATATATTTTCCGATTTATAATTCTGTATATTTTCAAATTGCGTTTTTCTAAATTTTATTTTAAAAATTTAATAATTTTATATAATTAAAATTAACAAAAATATACATATTTCTTTATGAATAGGTTTAAAAAAAATTTTTTTTAGGTATACAACTTAAGCTAGTAGTAAATTGATAAATTTTTAACATTATCAAATTGTTCTTTTAGCATGGAAACTTATTTTCATGTCAATTGCCTCCATGTTTTGCTTAAGAACTTCCCATCAATGAAAATAGTGCAAGAGTTAAAACCTTGACTATACCTCATGCATTATACATAGACATAGACTTTGGATAAAACAGTTCTGCTGACTTCTTTTTTCCTTTTTCTTCTATCTTTTTTTTTTTTTATTCTTTTGCTTCTCTTGCACGCCACAAACTTTTGACAAGCGGCAGTGATTTTATTTAAACAGTGCCAAAGATGCTCAGAAGACGGATCGAATGTAAACTTCTCACAGGAATGTTTGTTCAACCTCGAGGGTCATCACTTGATTGATTAATTAATTAAAGGCTAACGTGTATGACGAGTAGAAGAGAAATATCTACAACATTGGATAAAACGAATATATCTTTCTGAACTGTTACATAATTGTCATTGAATTTGAAGGAAGATAATGAAGCTGATCGAATAACTGACTTTACACAATTTACAATTTATTGGCCTTCTTGTCAAGCCATTCAATCATATTTTGATGTGTTTAAAACTATATTATGCAATATCTGAATAATTACGTCTTCGTATTTATATATAAAATTTTATGAAGAAATTAAACTTAAAATGTTGTAATGGTTTAAACAATTATTTGACCTTCTCGTTTATTTTCTGTTTTTTTTTTTTAAATAAGAAACTCTTATATTTAGGAAACCATACTCATTGATTAATTATAATTATTAGTATATTACGCTTGAATATTGGACATTTTTTAAATTTATTTAACAAATATAGAAAATATTTGAGCCGTGAACGATAAAAAATTATTGCGACATCGTCACAATGTCGGACTGCAATTTGTAATTATATTTTTAATTTATTTAATTTAAAATATATGCTTTCGATCTCAAATTAGTAATATCTTGCCCCTGTACATCATACTTTTCCTGATAACAACGGAGTAATGCCGGTAAGTCCGTTCTGGAAAAAATTTTTGAATGAAATCACGTAACTTCCGCTATAGATCGGCAGTTCTTTTATAGTTCATCCCTAAAGTTTCCATATTTGGTCTCGATTTTTATATATCTAACACAATTCTAGAGAATTTATGGGAATTTATAGATCTACAAGTTTTTCAAAATGCAACCCAATTAATTAATTTAAAAAAAATTAAGTAAATAAAAGAGTTTTCTGCCTTTTTAAAAATTAATTTTTCTAATTTTTTTCTCGTTAACTATAGCTAACCTCCCTGTACATTACGGAGTAGTGGGTGGAAAGGCCTCTTTGCCTTGCAACATCACAGTCACCGCCGGTGACGAGACGATAGCCTTGATCCTCTGGTACAAAGGAGAGTCACTCGTGCCTATATACACATTGGATGCTAGGAATCATCCCGTACAACAAGCTCGACATTTTCCGAGCACAGAACTGGGTTCTCGAGCCTACTTCGATGTGACTTTAAAAACTCCAAGTCTTACAATTTATCCAGTGAACTTTGAGGATGAAGGAGAATATAAATGTCGTATTGATTACAGACGATCCAGAACTGTGAGCCACAGCGTCCGACTTAAGGTTATTGGTTCGTAAGCAATAGCAGCTCTGTTTATTACTACGATACTTTCACTTATAGCTTTCCTCTATGTTTAAATTAATCTTTAATCTCCCTCGGGTTAATTAAGTTAACTTCTCTTCTAAATAATTAAAAAAAAACGAAAATTAATTTTGTGCAAAATAGGATTCCAAGTAGATCTGTTTTTTAAATATATATATATA